TAATCCTGTTCATAAACACACTTGGACTGTAAATAACTATAATATAACAAGTCATCTGCAATAAAATACTTCCAAAGCCAAGTTATTCCGTTCCTGGTAAAACTGTTAAATGGCTAAAAAATTATATATGGTTCATAATGCTCATCTTCACAGTCTAGTCCACACTTAAATATTACATTTTACATCATATCGAGATCATTACAACAGTATCCCTTGAGTTGAGACCTAATCCTATGCAAGATATTAAAAGTTACAAAATCTTACACCAAAGGTTATTTGTACAAAGACCATAAAGAATATATAACCTATATCTTAAAAAACTGACTTCTGATCATTAATTACATGTTTCAACAGTTATATCAGTTTTTTTTTCATGTTTTTTTAAGAATATTTTTATAGGATATTGGTTATGTATTAATTTCATGTTAGGTGCAGTTTATAATATTAACATAACTATCAATATATTATAATTAGAAGAATGACTCGAATTAGTCACATATTAGAATTGTAATATCCAGCGGCGTAGCATGGCGTCAATACAAGGGGATGTAATAAGTAACTGGAATTAACATTTTACCAACACAATAAGGTTTTTTTCTTTTTTTATTAAAGTCTAAAAAATAAAATATAAAAAAAGTAACAGGTTAAAAAAATAATCAATTAAAAAAAGAACTAAATTTAGGTAATAAAAAACAAAGATGTGTGTTAGATAAAATAGTAGACAAGGCCAACAAAAAAGTTTATTGAGTGCCTTACAACCACGCAACCAGTGTTCACTCTTATAAACATTTTAACTAAAATGACGAATACACGATTTTAATTTAGTATTAATATTCAAAATAAATATGTTTTGAAGGTCCTTCTTCAATAGTTTTTATTTTTTCTGTATACACCATAGAACTGAAGGATGATAGCAAATTTATAAAATAAAATGGTATTTTATCGTCGACCGAAAAGATTTCGGGAGTAATAGAATTTCGGGAGACGATAATGCAATTTTATCGTCGTGTATAAGACAATATTTTTTTCCATAGCGAGTTACGTTTTAAAAAATATTCAGAAATTATTATTTCAAGGAATTTATTACGAGTAGAAAAAATATTGTGCTGGGTTGGCGTTACACTATCAAATTTCTTTATGAAATATTTTTTATAAAAGATATTTGATGAAAAATTTGATAGTTGTTAATTTACAATCTAATATACAGGGTGTCTCTAAAAACATGTGCCATCTCTCGTGGGGAGATTCCTCGCGTAAAAATAAGATTTATTTTCCATATCAACATAGGTCCAATTCTGCTTTGTTTCGTAGCTACAGGGTGTTAAAATCTTAATAATTTTTCGAGTTATTATAATTTTCTTCCAAGTGCTTTTAGTGATTCGAATGAAATTTTGAGGATAAAAGTTACTATAAGTTACTATACTTTAATGTTAAAAAAGTGGCGATAAATTCATCAGGGACATGCATATGGGTTATCACTCAAATATTTTTCAAAAAATGTGGCATTAAAAAATACATATAACCCTAAATTTTCACCCTTCTACAATCAACCCTTATTTTTTAATAGCGATATTAGTAATTCAATAATTTTCAATCAATTCTGTCAAATCAATTTCCGTCAATGGTTTTATGTAATTTGACAAATAAATAAAGCTGTCTCTTTAGTTGTCAGTTTTGAGTCAATATTTTTTAATTCTCTTTCGCGTCGATTGTTGATTGAATTGAAGCCAGAAATGGCTCAAAACGAAATAAGTAAATTACCAACAGATATTCAGGCTGAGACGACAAACGCCATATCCAAACTACTTCCATTTAAATCCCGAATAATTTATGAAAAGGATTACAAAAATTTTCAAAAATGGAAGCAATTAAAAAACGTGCGAGAAGAAAGATCTAGTGAAAACATACTTTTAGCATATTTTTCTGAAAAATCAAAGAAAATGCAGCCGTCCAGGTTATGGTCGTACTATTCAATGCTAAAAAGTACAATACTGGTCAATGAAAACATTAATATTTCAAGGTAAGGATAAGCTATACCGTTTAAATTTCCGTAGTAGTATAGTAACATATAAACTTTGTAGATATAGCAAGTTCATAGCTTTCTTGAGCAGTCATGTAGCGGTTACAAACCGAAAAAGTCAAAAATTTTAAACCCAAAAGATGTTGTGAAATTTCTTTGCACTGCTTTATTTAATCTACCCTTGCGGTTAATATAAGACAATTTTAACAGTTGCTATGGAAAAAATAATTGAAATTGAATTTAATTATTTGAATAAATTTGCTGAGAATTTTAATTTATTATAGGAGATCTCCGACTTTTTTTAAATAAGACATCACCCGCATCAAAGGAAGCTTCGCCGCTGGTAATTTCATTAAAATATTTCAATACTGTACGTCTCAAAAAACCGACGTAGTAGGAGGAGTACATAACATTTCTTGACAGTGTATCAGCTGATGGTGAATTATTTTAAATAATTTGACAATTATAAAAATAATACAAACATGCACGACACTTTATTAAAATACAACAGGTATACTTCAAATCACAAAAATTAAACATTTTACCAGTCTTAACAAACAGACAAAAATAACAGTAGAAAATAAACTTGTGTTGTATTTTATAAAAGTACATTTTCCATCACAAATTAAAAAAAAAATTATCTATCATCATATATATTTACATTTACTTACAAAATATTCCGCTCTATATAATATATTTTTTCTCGTTTGATAAAAATTCGAAAATTGGGAATTACTTAGCACCTTCCATTTCTTGTGATGTGAAATTATATACAGGGTTGTTCACCACATACGACACGGAGTATTGTAGCTAAACGATTATATTTTTACAAATATTAAGTTTTCGGTTCATTGAAGGACTATTAGAGCTACAATTTAAAAATATTTTTACAAGATACAGAGTGTCCCAAATAAATGAAAAATATCAAAGTTGTATTTTTTTAAATGGAACACCCTGTATATTATTACATTTTTAGTTTCTACGATTACAATAAAGGTAAATTTGATCAAGGTTTATCACACTTACACCTTACCGTTTTTAAAATATTTTCAATTTTGTGAAATTGTAGTAAAAATTTTAAGGCTTCATTTCTCCAAGGTTATCAAAGTTTTTAATACTAAATATTTACTGAAGTTTATTTATTGATCAGTTATTGTGTTGCAATAATCAAAATAATACTACCTCATACAGAGTGTCTAAAAAGTTATTTTAAATAATTTCTGGTTTTAAACGGCAATAACTTGTTTAATTTAAATGGAACACCCTGTATATTTAGGATATCAGATGCACAATTTAATTGTCTATCAAATTGTATTATACCATTTTTTACCTATCCCTTTAATAATCCTTCATCGAACCCAAAACTTACAATTTGTAAAAATCTAAGCGTTTAGCTACAATACTCCGTGTCGTATGTGGTGAAAAACCCGGTATTTTTTTCTATTACATTTTTTCGAATACAGTACACAATTAAATCTTTTCTAAATTCCATACACTTTCTACACTTAACAGAGATCGAAATACATTAATATACTGCATAATGTATATTTAATTGATACACAATACGGACATTTTATCAACAAAAGTGTTATTTTGTTTTATATTAGAACAATCCTGGTCATATATTTAAATTTTTAAAAATCTAAGTTACTATTTTCAGTTCTACAACACATATTCGTGTTACATCATTTACAATAACTATATTCTTCCAAGATTCTGATTCGGCGTTCCTTATTAATTTTCTACACAATAGCACAAAATAATATTCAGTTTTCCGAAAAGTTGTGCTCAATAAAAATATCATTAATCTTGATATTTTCGTTACATATTAGTTATGCTATCATTGAATTTCTATAAGATCATATTTATAGGGCCAATGTTGATTAGAAGAACCAAGATTCTTTTTGAAATAAACATTTCATTTATTAAAAAGAACAAAACAAAACCTTGTAAGGAACACCGATCAAAAACATATATATTTTGTTTAATATATTATAAGGTATAGAGTTTTATTAACGTTTGTACTTTAATATACACAGCAGTGGCGTAGATACTTTTCTTTCATCTTTCTGTCATTGACCTATAAAGTTTTAGGTTGTTTTTTGGTTTAGTGCATAATATTTAAACTTACGATACGCAAATCATTATAATTTTCTAATAAATCGCCAGGCCATATTTTCTTGTCGCCAGCAGTGTTGTAGTTGAAAAAATATAGAAAACATGAGAGACGATTTAAGATCGATTGATTTTAATCGATGGTGTTCAATAAGGAATTCAGAAAAATATCAACGCGCACTATTTTGGTTTTAAAAAGTACCCATATCACAAATAAAAAAGATAAAATTTATTATGTTTTTTTCGTGAAAGACACATAAGTGTATTTCAACACGCACGCACCATCCGACTTATTTCTTAGATCATGTCAACTAACATGGAGTCAGTAATTGTTTTGTATTTGTTTTTTAAACATGAAGCTTGATAAAAACGTGTTTTCGCGTTTTGTGATTAAAGCTTGATTCAGAACCTGGCAATTAGTGGAATAAATTAGTGGTTTCAATTAGTATAGAAGTTTGTTCTTTTAATTTCAATGTAAGCATTCAGAACGTCAAAATTAGGTAGACATTCTCAATTAGTAGAAAAAGTTATCAAATTTTAACTTTTCCAATAATTACACTTCAAAATTTGCGAGAAATGTCATTTTGGCCTTTGATTATCTTCCGTCAAGAGAAATTGTGGTTAGAAATCAAAAGTGGATTGTTTTATAAGCTAAATATTATGTTTTTTTACGTATACAACTGATTAACGCAAGCTGTTGCTAGGGTATTCTATTAATTTTAATTGTGTTTTTAAAAATTGTGAATGATCGTAAACTAAAAAGTATAAAGTGTAATTAAAACCACTAATTCATTCCACTAATTGCGAGGAAGCTTCATTCAGAACCTCGCAATTAGTGGAATAAATTAGTGGTTTCAATTACACTTTATACTTTTTAGTTTAAGATCATTCACAATGTCTAAAAAACACGATTAAAATTAATAGAAAATCCTAGCAACAGCTTGCAGTAATCATTTGTATCCATAGACAAAGCCTAATATTTATAGCTTATGAAACTAAAATAAACTTTTGATTTCTAACCACATTTTCTCTTGACGGATGATAAATGACATTCCTCGTAAGTTTTGAAGTATAATTAGTGGAAAAGTTAAAAGTTTGGTAACTTTTTCAACTAATTGAAAATTCCTACCACTAATTTTAACGTTCTGAAAAACCACACTTAGTGCGACGTTCTGAATGAAGCTTAAAATTGATTGATTTTCTGTAGTAATAGTTTGTAATGTGTTACAAAGATTCTATTTAAAATAATTAAAAAAGGCTTTAAATTTTATTCCATGTAAGTTTCCACAATTTAGGAGTATGATGCACACGAACCACGATTTGAAAATCGTACTTGAATGTATTTCATGTTTATTATAGCACCCTGTATTAAAAAGACAGTACTGTAATAAACACACAGATAAAGATTTTAAAGCTAAATACTGTAAATTTTGAAAACAAAATTCCTCTCTAACTTAAGTCAATTAAAGGCCGTTTAATTCTACTTTTGATTGATCATTGATGAACTAACGAAAAGAAAACGTCTCATCATCTGACGTCGTAATATTCGATGTTTATCGTCGGTCATTCGTTCCCTTTGCATGTCATGGATGCGGAGGCCTCTCCTGATACCACTTCCCGTTCGTTCGTGCGTGGTCGGATGGTTTCGGCGGCGGTCACGTGACCCGCTTGGCCGCCCGAAGCGTGCGGCTCTGTCAACATCGGCTCGTGTTCGGGTGGTATGGTACGCCGTTCGGCTGGGCTCGGCGGCCACTCGGTCGGCAAGCTGGGTAGCCGAGCGTCGGGATCTGGAGGGAGCTCTGCTGGCGCCAGCTCCGACAGCCCGTTTCACCAACAGAACACCGACAGCTCGCCGGTGTGTTCTCCGCTGGGACGCCATGCGGTCACGGATCGCGCCTTCAGCTGTAACAAAAATAAAATACAGTATTGGTACAATTTCACAATTAAGGAATTAAGTGTTCTAATAATAGAGCTAGCAACGTCGAGAAAACAAGTATTTTAAGAAATCTGGATCTTTGATATATCTTGTACTATGCTCTCTGGAATAGCGTGCGGGCCGTCTGGCTGCCGACAAACGTTGCGTTCACTACTGCGCATTGAAAAAAAATTCCTATATTTTTTATTAGTCGTTTAAATTCTAGTACTGAAGTTGAACCGAGCGAGTCTCTATACCGCGGCGCGAAAAGCTTTCGCCTATGAAGCGAGGAGTCCGAGTTCGAGACCGGCTCGGGGTATAAAATATATGTATATTAATAATTTAAGTAAAGTATTAAATAATTCTTGTGATTCAAAAAACAAATATTTAATACCGTATGATCGAATAAAAACGGCGTCCAGTTGGCTTGGAAATGACGATCGATGGCATTTCCTATATAAATTTACATATAAAATGACAGCGATCTTCATTTTATAGCCATCGCTGACGCCGTTTTTATTCGATCATACGGTACTTTCATATCAGAATATAAACGAAAATAAAATAAAAAAGTTTTATACCCCGAGCCGGTCTTGAACTCCTCGCTTCATAAGCGAAACCTCTGCGCGCTGCGCTATAAAGACTTATTCGATTTATATTCAATACTAGAATTTACCGGACTAAATAAAAAAAATATAGGATCTTCTTCCGATGCGCAGTAGTGAACGCAACGTGTACCGGCAGCCAGACGGCCCGCATGCTGTTCCAAGTAGCATAGTAAAAGATATACCAAAGAGCCAACTTTCTTGAAATACTTTCTCGAAAACGTTGTTAGCTCTTAGACTATATCTTATTTGAGTGCTCTAATATCTTATTATTTGTTTGACAGTTAAATTACAATGACCAACTCTGCAGCGTGTCAGCCCTGGCGCTAGAAATGATATATAAACATTTTTGAAGTGAAACTTCTTTACGCGATCGTTTGCTTAAAAGCAAACGATCTAGCTAGAAAAGGAGCGAACACTCCACTAACTGGACCAGAACCGTTCTGCTTTCTAAGCGGAAACCAACTTAAAACGGAACTCAAGAACCTGGAAGACTTCATCCGTAACCTGAAATGGGAGGCATCCAACGGTTTGAGACTCTCGAAAAAGTTTCTCAGAACTTACGACCAAGAAAAATTATTTTTCTTCGTTTAAGTAAGAACAATATTCGGATTGTCACGGGGTTTCTAACAGGACACTGTCTCCTCAACGAACACCTCAGTAGATTGAAGCTGAAAAACAACGACGAATGCAGATTCTGTGGGAAAATGGGGAAAAACCAGAACACCTCATCACTAAGTGCGCCGAGACCGTTCATGCCATAAACTTTGGTACAGTTGATGTCGGAAATGGAGAGCTGGCCTCTGTGGGGTCCTCTCAGATACTGGCTTTTGTCAAAGCCTTGAGACTGTATGATGAAGAAAGGGGAACGCGCAATAGACCTGTAAGGTCGCGGTGATTAACTCCCCTCCTAAACATTCTACATTCTACTTATTCTATAGCCTCAGACAATGCCGTCTCTAATAGAACAGCCTCGGAGCGAGATTTATGACGTCACGCTAGTTAGATACTACGGATTAATAAATATGTTGTAGAATACATGGAAAACATAATCATTCCTCAGATTTTTGGTTTTTATTTCAAAAATGATATATATAGTTTACATGAAAGCCTGGGAGAATATTATTTTTAAATTTATTAAAGATATTTTCAATAGAACTGTCTTGATTTATAACTTGTACCCACTTTTCTTGCTCTTCCGGATACTTTAGGCTGTCTAATGTAATTATCCTTGCAACCAGGAACACAACAAAAATGAGGCATAGCACCAAAAACACACTCCACTTAAGCTTTATTGATGAATTGTTAGAGTCTTAAAAAAACACACAAAAATCATGATAAATAAAAAACTTATGGGCACTTTTAGGTTAAAGCACTTAACAAAACGTGTAATATTTCGTATTTTTTTATGAGAAACAGAGTGATCATATATCGGGTAGTAGTTTATGTCACTTAAACACCAAAATAATTAGTTTTTTGCACTACAATAACAAACAATACCAAAAATCAACCAACAAAATATGAATACAAAATTTAACTGAATATCTAACGATGAACAGCTGATGAAATAAACAAAAGTCCGCGCCGGGGTGATCTATTAGAGACGGCAGTGCCTCAGATTGCAGTCTTTCATATGATTGGTATCTTCCCCTAGGAGATGCAAGACCTTGTGGTTGGTGGGAAAGCTCCTTGTCAGGTTTGATTTGGAAGAAGCTGGAGGAATTTCCTCTAGCACTTTAGCTCGGTCTAAGAAGCATCTTATTGTCTTGTCCCTGGCTGTAGTGTCGTGGCCAGGGAATAGCACCAAGAGATATAACGATGCCGGACGGGGCTATCCCTGTCCGTCATACCAGGCACCCTCTACTGACTGTGGTCATGTCTCGCTGGTAGAGGGTGTGGGGGGGTCTTGGCTTAACCAGGCTCACCCGACCTGGGTCAACCAGGCGGGCTAGACGATCCTCTGAGAGTAGGTCTTAGCGGAGCAGAGCACGGAGATCTCCGACTGCTCCACGAAGGACTTGCTCCAGAGGAAGCAAAAGCGAAAACACTCCTTCGAAAAGGGGAGAGTAAAGAAACCAAGAAACAACCTGACTCATCTCCATCAAAGGACAAGAGCGGGAGCGAGAACCTCTCACCTCTTCTCCGGCAGGGAGAGAAAAAAACCAGGATGGAAAGCCGTCCAACACCGGGAGGCAAGCAGGGACGTATCATCAGCTTTGCCGCTATTGCTTGACAAGTGAAAATGGCGGTGCTGCCAAAGGATTTCCCAGAGGTTGCTCTGACCACCGACCAGCAAACGTCTCTAGAAGAGACTATACTGGACGAAGTAGTGGCGATCGGATCGCAACACAACGATCTACAAAATGTCGGTCAGCTGCGTTTTGCGGGGATACACTTTCGGGTGTACTGTTCACTCCACCTCACGGGTTCCTCCGCCGGGTGCAAGCACCTAGACTGTGTAGAGCGGCACGGAGGGCCAAACTCCAACCGTGGAAGAGTGTGTACCCTCGGAGGAAGAACTGTTGTCAGAGGAGGATAGGAAATACCCTGTCCCCTCTACAACAGGGGTATGATGGGTTATAGATTGTGTGATGACTCAAGGAAGAGGGGCACACACACAATAGATCTTTAAGGTCGCAGTGATTAACCCCCCCCCTCTTACTCATTCTACATTCTATGATTAGTATTAATTAATTTTGTGAAAGGAACTAAAAATGTTCTAATTAGTTGCGTCGATGAGTTGAATGATGAAAATTGAAAAGAACGCGATCACATTCACCGTAACTAGAAATAATAAAAAAAACGCCAAACGCTGTTCTGTCGAACCAAACCTTCGAAATAAAATTAAAAGGGTCTTTCCGACGGGAAAGCCATATCGTCTCGAGTGCTCGAAAAATATTTGGCGAGAGTGGCACAACGGGCTTTTCACTACTTTTCACTGCTTAATGACAGGAAAAAGTAAAAAACCGGGGCGAGACAAGCTGAGCTGGAATCGCGAGGCGCCACCGCCTCGTGTTTCTTTTCTGTCTGATTTTTTATTTTTTCGGTTAAATTCGGCGCTTAAAGCAACGTCCGGACTAGGTTTTTTACCGTAAATAATATTTTGTAGTAACTACATAATATGGGTCACACCAAATAAACTTTTAGTCACGTGATTAAGCTTGGCCGGCACAGTGTTGTGCACTTTTACATATTTTCTTTTAATCAAAATATTTTACGAAACAAAAATAAATTAATTATAAACATATAAACAGTTATTATTTACATCAACAAAACTCATCTCGTTAACAGCACTTAGGGACATACAGGGCCACTACCGCTTTCCAGCTCAAAATATTCTAATAAAGTTGCGATGAGTTTTTTGTAGCGGCTATTAAGCTATCTTGTACATTTCGCACTAAAAGAGATTCTAAAAAGAACAATGTTCGACTGCAAAGTCTGCTAGTAAAAATTTTTAAGCTTAAATTATTACAACACAATTCATTTAAACTGGAAACTCGTAATACAAAAATAAAGTATCAAAACGAACGACAGTGTCGGGAAATAAAAAAAATAAATGTGGCAACCTGGCATTTTGCAGAGCTACCACCTGAATCGCCAGCGGGAAATTTAAATTCCAGTTAGTCAGCAACAAGGTTGGCAATAATGAATTTAAAAATCGCGCCCTCGATTTTTAACTAAAAGTTTAATTGGTATCAAATATATATAAAATTGGTGTTTGTACAGAAAGTTCTACACTTCGTTACTATGGAAACGGTACAATTTGCAAAGCACAACCCTCTAAGAAAATTATAATCTATGCTTAAAATTAATGAAGACCTATATATATGCATAGTCGATGTCGAATCTCATAGAGAATTAATAAGAAAAACACCCCTGCAATCATCAAGGGAAAATTATTAGGTATAGAGAAAAAGAAAATGCGAGTAGATAAATATTTTAAATATGGAAATATTAAATTATAGTTATCCCGGGTGCCTCTCAAAAGTGGCACACCCTGTAGCTTTTTTTATTTTTTCAGATAAAAAAAGAACGAGATTTGGTATGTTAGTATACGACATAAATTAGGATTGATTGACGTATTCAATTCTTTTCGGTCACTTCCTGTTTCACCGGAAATGCACACCGGAGGCACCCTCGGTATTTTTTTTACTTTATTCGATAGAAAATGACACTCTGAATAGAATGACATAAGTCAACTTTTGATATTATCGAATAAAAAATGTATTTTAAATTTCAATCTAGAGTGCCATGGCTGTGTTAAAAATACTAATTTTTAATCAAGGAGCCTTGGAAAAATATATTTGATCGTGTAATATTTTTAGTATCTTATCCTGGTCGGCCGGTTAAAAGATGCTCAAATCGTATTTTTAAACATATCTCAAATTTTTCAAATGGAACGAGACTGGCTCATTAGCATATTTATATTTAGAAAAAGCATTTTTTATGAATAATTTGGTACCATACACTTGGTATTTCGAGTTAAATTGTCGTTGTGAACCGCATGTTACAATTTCAAATAAACCATGAGCGAAAATATCAAAAGTTAACATATGATATGACATTCTATTCAGAGTGTTATTTTCAAAAAAATACCGATGGTGCTATTTAAAAATCAAAAGTTGTAGTCATTTCCGGTCAAACAGGAAGTGACCGAAAACAATTGAATACGTCAATCAATCCGAATATATGCTATACTAACATACCAAATCTCGTTTTTTTATGGAGGATGGAGGCAGCGGGCCAGCAAAAAATAGACCTATTATTCAAGAATGGTACTCTTTATGTAATTTTTACATGGAAAATGTTTAAATGAGCTTCAGAAAAAAAACTTACTCCTCTTAGTCCGCCCCTGTTTAGTTCATTACCGAAATACCTTTCATCTGTCGCCATCAATGTTCCAACGCCGGTTTCCACTTTAAATATTAAAACAATATCGGCGAAAATTTTAAGTCGAGCCTTCGAAACACTCGCGCAAGCGAAACATCGCGGATTTTACATTTTTTGTTTTCTATTTCTTTTTTTATACGTCTGTCTTTTTCTGGTCCATTGCATTTACTTCTTTTAATATACGATATTTACCATACTTTTAGTATTTAACATACTATCACGAAAGGTGGAAACGATCGAAAAAGTGGTTAGCCGATGAAGAAGTTGAGATCGGTCTTTGGAGCGTCGTAGAATGTAGAATGTTTAGGAGGGGAGTTAATCACCGCGACCTTGCAGATCTATTGTGTGTTCCCCTTTCTTGAGTTATAACGAGTTGTAACTCATCATACAGTCTCAGGGCTTTAACAAAAGCCAGTAACCGAGACGGCTCCACAGAGGCCAGCTCTTCATCCTCGACATCAGCCGTACCAAAACTCATGGCATGAATGGTCGTCGTCTCGGCGCACTCAGTGATAAGGTGTTCTGGTGTTTCCCCATTTTCCCCACAGAATCTGCATTCGCCGTTGTTTTTCAGCTTCAGCCTACTGTGGTGTTCGTTGAGGAGACAGTGTCCTGTTAGAAACCCAGTGACTAAAATCAAGGAAAACCTTTGATTTTTCTCGGTCGTAAGTTCTGAGGAACTTTTTCGAGTGTCGTAGATCGTTGGAGGACATCCATTCCAAGTTACGGATAGAGTCTTCCAGATTCTTCAGTTCCGCTTTCAGTTGGTTCCCGAAGGAACTCCAACTTTCAGTTGGAGCGTCGTAACTCGGGTCCTATGTGAACTAGGGGGCTGAAACTCGGAATGTAGATGGGGATTTTCATGATATTTTGACGACGTTTCGTGAACTATGAAACCCCATCATCAATGGTGAAAAATCGTCCGATTTAAATGAAATTTGGTATGTCGATACACTAGGCCAAGTTGACCGTGTACGATATGTGTCACTGTGACAGTTAGTTTTGACGTAAGAAACGTCGAAAGTTAATGTCGTCCGATCGCGACCAAATTTGGTGAGTAGGATAAGTGAGCCCGGTTCACACGGTCCCACCCTGCAAAGTTGGATTCGACGTTTCGTTCACATCTTCATCAGGGTGGGAGTAAGGATTTGATATTGAAGAAAAATGTGGGCCGATTACGGCATAATTGGGGACGGGTTACAGGATCACGCCCTCTACGTTTCGAACCGATGCCTCTAAATGGACGATATCATCAGGATTTTTCTTAAATATGGGTCGATTGGAACCAAACTCGGCACGTGGATGGACGTATCCAACAGACGGTCATTTTAATACAAATTTTGTAACTCAAATTATTTATTAATTTTTAATTTATTACTTTTTCAAACACGTCCTTCAAATCCTTCAATTTAATAGCTGTTAGTAAGAAGCTTCACTTCAAATATGCGCACGTAGTGTAGTTCAAATTTTTTTTCATATGTACCTGTTGCATTTTTTCGAAATCCAAATAGGGCCTTTGCAAATGAGAATGGCGTCCGTGTTTGGATCTCTTCCTGGGCGATACTTCGTAGTGTAACAATTTCGGTGGAGGACTGATCGACCGTCCTTTGGTTGGGACTGATCTCCTGCCAGGTTTGACGGCCTCCAACGGAGGTGAAGTTCGAAATCTTACCGGAGTTGTTCTGCTCGCCAACAGATTGTGCACCTAGCAAAGAATCAAAAAATAGTTAAATATTTTATGTATATGTTACAGTAAAAGTTGGAATTCAGTGATTGTTAACAATTACTAGTAAAAGCTCACATTCACTGATTTGCTAAGATTAGGCCAGTCAATTTAAAGAATATCAGTAACTTTTTTGGCAGAGGGATTTTATATTTGCCATGTTGGTAAAAAATACCGGTCAAAATTCAAAGTTATTCATTTTATAGACTATATTAAGGAACCTAGTGACTATGAACTTATTAAACGTTTTGATATACTAGAAGTAGCGGATTTGCAAAAACGAATAACGCCCGTTGAAGAAAATTCGGGTATACTTTATTTTGTTCACGATGAAGAAATTTATTAAAAAAACCTTGTACCAATAAGTAATTTTATGTTTATAAATGTTTTTTTAATTGTTTTGTACGCTTTAAAATGTTTACTACGTTTTCTCTTTTAATATTTAGAAGGTTATGTCGTTTTCTATAAGTTTTAATAAATATACTAAAGAGAAGTAAATTGTAATTTTAAGATATGTGCATGGATCAGCTTGAATATTGAGGTGATCCAATATTCTTAAAAGTTTTATTTGTTCTAACTTCCACCACACTCGCCCTGTACAATAGAATAACTTTTACTGGCAACCTTTAGTAAATGTTACTTTTACTAGTGAATGTTAGAAATTACTAGGAAAAGTCGACAAATATCTTTAAAATACCACATTCACTGGTCCAATGCGTAGGTAATTGCTAGCATTTCCTAGTGAATGTTAACAATCACTGAATTTCCGACTTTCACTGTAACATATATAAAGGAAATGCTTGATATTACTTCGTCATCTGAAGATCCCGAGTGCTCTATAACTGGACCGTCCTCGCAGGCTTTCCAATGTGGCGAACAGGAAGATGGGGGACTCAGGTTGCTGAACTGTGACATGTTTTCTTCGTTTTCAGGTCTATACCTAGGACAAATTTATTTACATAATCAAACTAAGACGGGTGTATCCTATCGGCTTGATGCGTTTCAGTTGATTTTAAAAATTACGACCGCAGCGCTCGACACGGCAGAAATCAGAAGTTTTCGCTCTGTATTTCACGCAGTTCCGATGTTGAAAGCATTGAAATAATAATAAAATCGTGGCTTTGTCATAATACTTAAATATTATAGTTTTTAATAGTGCTGTTATTGAAACTATAAAACATTCAGGTACGAGGTTTGTGTAAAGTAACACTGTTTCGGGAAGTAAAAATTAAGTGAAAAAGAACCTGAACTGGGCGTCGCTTTGTGTGGTGACAATTGCAAATGTTAGTAAAATTGTCAAAAAGATGTTAACACGTAAAGGTTGTTGAAACATTCAATAACTCAACTTTCCCGGATATTTAACTCTCCCGAATCAATGTTTTACAGCTTCACAACTTTTACTTCTCACACCGATTTGATCAAAAGCAAAAATGGATTCAAGCAGCTCGACCAAACAAGTGAGTAAACAAAGTGGCCATTACATAATCAAAAAATTAAATAGGCATTTACTATGAGAGGATAAATTATAATTTGCAATATTAGTTACATATACAATCCAAGTAATTACATAAATATACTTGTTTTAATCAACTAGTGGCTTAAATTTTTTTATGAACATCTTCTAAAATTATAATTATACAGGGTGCTACAAATTCGAGGTACGAGCATTGGTATCTCGGTAACCGTAATAGATACGAACATGGTTAAATTGATTTTAAAAAAAATCAGTTTTTTCCATAAAACTCAGCAATAATTGAAATTTTTGAAACTTTTTTGATGGCATCTTGGTGAACATTCCATAGCGCAACTTTGTCCCAATTTAACCATGTTCGTATCTATTACGGTTACCGAGATACCAATGCTCGTACCTCGAATTTGTAGCACCCTGTATACCTTAATTAAATAACTACATAATACATTTTTCGTATATTCGCTATAACCCGTGTATTTGTATATACCAGTTGTTTACGATATTCCCCGATGGTGGCAGCACCTGTGGAGAATGCACCAAGCACATAGTCAATACCCATTTTTAGATGGAAGTGATCAAATTGATAAAAGCAGTTGGCTGTTCTGATTCTACTCTTTTGGTTGGTTATAAATTTAAGAAATTTAAATATTTGTCAGCGGTGCGATTCTGTAAACTTATTTCCTGTCTAGTGACTCATCAATCGTATATAAATAACATAGGCTAGGCAAGAAATTTCTTGCTACGGAGCTTACAGAATCCCACTGCAGCTGTTGTTATTAGCGTCAAAGCAAACAAAAAAGTTGAATATTATGATAATTTTTTAGTGATATTAAATAAGTTTGCCATTATAATGAGATTAAACAAAACCAGATGCAAAATAACTGGATTTACTCTGAAAGTTTTTAATTTAAATTTTGAAGAATCCTCTCAAAATAAATAAAAATATAGGTTAGGTTACGTACTCGTAATAAGTTCGATAATAAAACGCATAATAAGGCTTTCTAAACTGGTTTACCTAATTCAGAAAGTTTGTAATATAATAAATCTGAAATTCGTAATGAAAAGTTCTACATACAGGTTGTTAACTGGACAGTTACTTATAGGGGAACAGAATGGCAACACTGCCTATTGAGAACGCATGCACTTATAGAGTTTTCTGCCGTCTCGTCCCGTTGCGGGCCGAGGTTGCCATATTTCAACCATAAAGCTCTTGCCGCGAGTAATAAACAAATTAACAATCTGTATATTCTATTCTACATACTATATATTCTCTAGTTAATTATTTGTTTACCTGTGGTGATCTCCAACTTGTGACCATTTCCTTTTCTCTGGTAGACACACAGAAGCAGCCCTGAGAGGTCTTGGGGTGGTCCTTTCGAGTTTGGGGTTGCTGTTTATTACCTCGAGCTCTTCTTCAGACGAATGGGGGTCGTGAGGATCTGGGGCTGGACTTTCCATCGAACACCCTGTATCCGCCGGGGATACGCTGCACATTCTGTCAGAAACAGCTGAAAAAAAAACAAAAATATACAATTAAAATCTGTTATTCTTTTTATTGAAGACCAGGGTGCAAAAAAATCTGTTTTTTTTTTAAATTATTTTAAAGCCCCTATTTCATAGATCAAAGGGATTTTGTTTGGAAATAGTCAAGACTGTTTTAAGTCTAGAATAAAATTAATACCATCTAATGTTCAAAATGCAAAAAAAAACTACTGAAGAAAATGTCGGTAGAAATTTGGAAAGAACGGAAAATTTGGAAGAAGTTATCTTCTAAACTTGTAGAAGGCAGAAGCAAAGTTTACAGAATACTGTGGAAACTTTGGCAGAAATTAGCTTGATCAACATACAGCTGTTTCTTCAAAAAAGATATTTTTTGACATTGATTATACAGGGTGTCCCAGGCTGAGCATGCATTAAAAGTTTCTAGAGAACCACTATTTCTAGATCGGAGATTTTTTGTACATCATTGTTTCACAATGAGATCTATCGATTAAAAATATTGTCAATATGGCGGCACTTCCGGAAATACCAGTAGTTGACAGCAACTTTCTAATTTTAAAAGGGTGCCCCCTTTTTTTATTACATACTTAAATTCTCTGTAAAAGTCTCTGAATATTAATGTAAAACACTCTATACCTAACATTAACCGTTTTTGAGAAAAAAAATATTTAAAATTATTAGACGAAAAAAACTACCTATCAAAAAAATTTGTATAGTCTAAAAATCAAATTTAGTGATTACCACAGCCACTGTGAGTAAAGAGAAGAATTTTTCAAATGTCATATAATAATGGCGGTAGGCTGGCGGTAGGTGTCATGGAATTGAGCGATCAAAAAATATCATAAATCAATTTTTTTCAAATGGAGGCCCACTTTTTTTTATTTCACTAATGAAAAAGTGTTTCAATTCGTTACTTTTTAACTATACATGTTCCTATATCTAAAATAAAGCGTTATTAATTGATTTAAGATTTAATTTGAAAACGTATATTTTTTTGATGTTATCTAGCTTCCTTTGACATTAAGTGTCAAACGGTCAGACAATTAATTTTCATCTGTCAGAAAACGAATTATTTGAATTTCCTATATTATAAATACTGCCTGCTTAAAAGTTTAAAAGTGTATTTATAAAAAAAATATATCTCATATTTTCGCTCTTTAGTGATATCTAATAGTTGATATTTAATAATATTCCGTATGATCGAAAAAAACACAGCGCAAAAGTTGGCTCGGAAATGATGCTGCTTTTTGAACAAAGCGTCCGAATATGACATGGCCAGATCTATTGTTTTACATCACTTGACGTTTAAAGTCATAGACAACTGGTTAAAATCAAGAAAAATATACGCATTAAAACTGAATCTTTAATAACATAAAAACGATTTATTATAGGTCTAATACAATTTATTAACTTGTCTAGCCAAAAAGTGACGAATTGAAAAGCCTTTTTACTAGTGAAATAAAAAAAAGTGGGTTTCCATTTGAAAAAAATGATTTATGATCATTTTTTAATCGCTCAATTCTATGACAGCTGTGCATTCTTATATGACATTCGAGCGAATTAATTTTTGAAATAGATAGCCACATCTTTTCTCTATATGGCACAGTGGCTGTGGTAATCACTAAATTTGACGTTTAGGCTATATACAATATATACATAATTTTAACGATTTTTTTTTATATAGGGATGAGCCACTTTTGAGACGCACCCGGTAGATTCAATCGCTTAAAGCATTTGGTTAGAAGCTCTTGATTTAAAAATAAAAGGCAAATAATCACGAAAAAATCTATCGATCATCGATCCTAAATAATTATAGAACTAAAGCGAATGAAGCAAAGAGGGACTTTCTGTATTTCATATCAGGAATGAACACACTTTATATATCAATTTGATGTTTTGTAAAGCATTTTCTGCATCCAAAATCGATATTTATTGAACAAATAATGCGGTCTCGTTGTGAAACTATGGCGTGCAAAAAATCTCCGAGCTAGATGTTGTAGTTCTCTAGAAACTTCTAATGCATGCTCAGCCTACGACACCCTGTACACTCACCACTGCCTCTGTACGAAAAACGGGCACCTTTAGATGTATTTTAAAGTGTAATACATTTTGTTCTAGTGGGCCGATTTTGATGACTTTTTAAGCAATTTGTAGCTAAATTATTTGAGTTTTTAGTATCTCTTTCTAAATTAAAAATGAAAGTTTCCATCTGTCAATTATACGAGGGAAAACAAAATGTTGATATTTTGGTGACCTAACCTAACCTAACACCCCGTGGAATATGTTAACAAGGCCAGGACAGGATAGTTTTATCATCTAGGTACGTCTTTTCTCGATAGTTTGTTTATTGATTCATTTCAATAGCAATATTTTTCTTAGAGATATCCGCTTTTGAATAAGACAGTAAGGATTTACAGCAATTTTGCCATTGATTTTGGGATCTCATAACTGCAAATGATGAACATAGTTTTGTAATACTTGTTATTAGACTTTTGTTGTATTAATTGACGTTTACTCTAGTAGATATTGTTTTAAGTTATAGTAAACATACGAATGTTTGGGAGTGATTCATCCGGTCGCTACCATGTGAACTAATCTGTTCAAAGGTTACATAAACTTAAATTCCGTGTTTTCGATCCTTATAATAATCAATATATAATCGGTTGCAATTTGTTGTTTTAACTGTCAAAGTCTTGTCAAAACATATATTTGGTTATAACTATAAAATGGAATGCCCCAATAGTCGCACTGCAAGCACACCAATGGACTGACACACAAAAACGAATCAATCAAAGAAAAGCGATATAGTATCGTCTTTGTCAATCACATTTGGTTAGAAGCTCTTGATTTAAAAATAAAAGGCAAATAATCACGAAAAAATCTATCGATCATCGATCCTAAATAATTATAGAACTAAAGCGAATGAAGCAAAGAGGGACTTTCTGTATTTCATATCAGGAATGAACACACTTTATATATCAATTTGATGTTTTGTAAAGCATTTTCTGCATCCAAAATCGATATTTATTGAACAAATTTCTGTTTTAGAAGATAATTATTATAAGCTGCACGATTACAATGAACTATAATTAATAATTCCTCACGTGAAAAATTAATTATGAACTTAGTATCGCTTTTGTGTGGACTAATATTCAGTGCTTTTTGCCGATAGGTATATCACCGTTAAATGTAAAGTCCTATTGTAAAATAGCAAAATATTAATATTAATGTTAGTTTCTCAATTACACTATTTGTTTACAAGTACAATATTTGTTTACACCATTACATATCTGGGCAGCACAAAATAAATTGATTTTATTTATTATTATTATATTGATTACAAATAAATAACTTTATTTAAATTTATAGCAGTTTACTTTTATTTAATTTGCCCCTACAATAGTTTAATAAGTAAAATTTATTAAATATGTACAAAGAAGCAGTTCTTTGATTTATTTTACGAGGACTTGTAGATATGTGGATTTTCTATAAAAGAGCTAATTACAGCAAAATCATTTTCTTCACTTCCAACGACAGGTTTCTGCCTAATAGTTTTTTTATAAAACACACTACCATAGCTCTGCGAAATAGGACAAGTAGTTTTTCAAAGGAACGCTTATCAGGAAGATTTCCATTTGAATATCTTTGAGCATAAGCCCTTGAGGCCAAGAAGCATTTTCCTCACAAAATAAAATCACTAGTAACATATCCATTCGTTCCGCCAGTAGATGTAGATACTGCTTTATTTTAAACTGCTTGATAAAATAATGCATATTTACTTATTAAACTATTGTAGGTAAATTTAAGTAAACTGTTATAAATCTAAATAATAATGTCCATAGACTAATTCCGATTTTGAAAATAGCTACTAACTGTCACTAGAAACTTGCCATGACATCAGCCATCTTGGCATTTTATTGAAAAATTGTGTTTTGTTCAAAATCTGGGTTAGATAGGTATAGGAAACCCTAATATTGTTTGAAAGAGCATTTGAATCTGCTTCGATTTATTTAAAAAAATACAGAGTGTTGCATTTGAAATAACGAAGTTTTTATGTTAAATAAATATTTCAAACAGATCAGCAATTTTTGATATCCCTGTATGCATTAAACAAAGCAATCAATTTTTTCAGTAAAGTTTATTTCTCTGGGTTAAGTCAGCACAAGAATTAATTCTGAAAAGTAATATACAGGGTGTTAATAATCTATAATATATATTTATAGCATACATTTTTAAATATCTTTAAATATCTCAAAAACCAAAAATAAATACCCTTTTTTGGGCCCAAGAATCCAAAAATGAAATAAAATGGTGGGTGTTCCATAAGAAAAAATATAACTTTGGTATGGATCTTAGTTCTGAAACACCCTGTATATTTCAAAATAATTTTAAATTGTGCCACATTGCCTCCCCACATATACCCATAAAATATTTTGTTTCTACATCTTTCCGTTTTCGTATAATCAACCGAAGCGAATGAGGTGCGCTACCCTGTATATTTTTTTGATATGATCTTAAGTCTTACAATACTTAATAAATTTGATGATTTTACGAAAAAAATTGAGTAACTTTTAGGTGCAATACACTCTAATCTTATATGTTTAATTAAGATACCGATATCAACTTTACTAGAGTATAGTAAAATCCTTATCTTAAAAGCGACTTGTTTACTTAAACTATATTCAGCAAGAATAGAATTCTTAAAATACACGAAAAAATTACTTTTTAAAAATAAGAATAAAATTATAGTTCTATCTAGTATTATAATTATATGGCTCATTAAAAACTCATATTGTTGTCCTAAATAGTTATCACAAGCTAATTGGCTTCCCGAACTTTGTTTTAGTTTTAAATTGTCAACGTGATTCTTGGCATGTAATTTTATCGTTTTGAATGAATAACAATAACAAAGATACTACGCTATTTACTTAGCTTACTACGCTAAACTTAGAGTTACAATTACTATATAAAAATAAATTATTATTATGTTATGAATAAGAAGATTTAG